CTTGTAGTTCCCATGCTCTTGCGGCGAGCTAAGAAAATGCTTATCTCCCTTAGCCTGGCCTTCATAATTCCCTTCCATCACATCTAGGTTTTATCATCTTGGGCTTCTATGGGGTTACCTTACAGTTGCTTTTATTAAATTCTTGTATTTTCTCTTCACTGCAGTATCTGTGGAATCCTTACTCCTCCCTTTCTCCTAGATGAGAGAGAACTGCAGTATTCAGTATATATACAGGAGAAAATACCAAGGACGCTTTGGTGTTGGCATCTTAGAAATAACCTCTAACTATAGCTGAAGGTTTTTCTACATTACTACTACTGAGTGGTACTGTTGAAACATGCTGCTGATCAAGACTCATAATACTAATTATAAGGTCCTAAGAAACAATGAAAGAGCAATGTCTACCTATAGGTACATTTTATTGCCCCAGTAACATCTCTAATGATTCTACATATAATTGCTTTTAAATGTATAAGTATAAAAGCAATATAAAAACCTGGAAAGGCTGTTTGGCCAGAAACAAAAGTGAGACAAAAAGCAAAACAAAAACATATCTGTGCACACTACACAGTGAGCAATGGCTAAATTATTCTACCATCAAAACTAGAATCAGGAGAGAATGCACTCTCCTTCCAGAATGACGAGAGATACAGATTGGTTAGATCCCACACGTCCTCGGTAGAGTTCTGTCCATTATGAATGAAGGAGGCAGGGTAACAAGTTTTATTATTTTTATTTCCTTATACAGTCTCTTGTGCCTGTTAAAGCCAGCTGTAGATAATTATAGAATTCTCAAAATAATATGAGAGGTAGTACAGGTGAAAGGTATAGGAAGAAGAGGAACTGGCAAAAATTGCTACACAGTTTCCTTATTCCAGGGCATTCTTTTATTGGATCCTCATTCCATATGCAAACAGAAGGAAACCTTCTATTCATGGAGAAACAATTTTGAATCCAACCCAGAATGTTTTAAAACAAGATAATATTCATGAATCAGAATAAATTAGTAAAACTTCCTGCATTTAGTTATGTTGGTTTATAAAAGGCAAAAATGGACAAGCCTTTAATTAATTACTTTTGTTTTTTTTTCTCTTCAAGCTTCAAGAGACAGTGAAGAGAAAATTAGAAGGAGCACGCTCACCCCTCAATGGAGAACAGCAGAATGGTGTCTGTGACAGTAACTTCTCTCCAACTAACAAGCGGATACGGAAAGATGTACCTGGAATTGAGAGAGTCAATAGTTTGCCCAACAGTTTGCCTTTGCCTTCTCTTTCTCCTCTTCACCAGCTTGACATAAAGCCATCTTTGCCCCTGCAAAACAGTGGAACCCATGCTGGTACCCTGGAAGACTTAGGTAAAAATGGTGGACTTTCTGACCTAAAACTCCCAATCAATGGATGCACTGAGCTTGAAGATACTTTTAACATCCTGCACCACAACAGCAGTAGCAAGGAACTGAAACAAGAGCCCTTGGATGATCCCAACTGCCCTGACAATTCTGACACATCCCTTTCCAATCAGAATAAACTCTTCTCAGACATTAACCTGAATGATCAGGAGTGGCAGGAGTTAATAGATGAGCTGGCTAACACTGTTCCAGAAGATGATATACAAGATTTGTTCAATGAGGACTTTGAAGAGAAAAAGGAACCTGAATTTCCAAGACCAGCCACTGAGATTCAGGAGACTGCCAGTGTTAAAAGTGATCCGTGTCACTCTCCGTTTGCTCACATACCAACAGGCTCTCCCCAGGTAAGACCTTCGTCATCAGGCCCTCCATTTTCAAACATCCCTACAGCTTCCAGCCTGCCTTCAGTCTCTAATGCTCCTCCTGCTCCAGGCCTGGACAGTTCACCAGCAAACTGTGTGGTTCAGTCCCCTCAGACTCCCAACCAAGCACATCCCCCAAGCCAGACTCAGTCACGACCAGGCAATAGTTTCCACGTGAATCCAGCAACAGTGACAACAGCGGGCCCAGGGCCTAGCCAGGTGACTGTGCCTAGCACTGACTTGTCTCCAGCTGAGCAGCTGAAACAGATGGCAGCACAACAGCAGCAGCGGGCCAAGCTCATGCAGCAGAAACAGCAGCAGCAGCAGCAGCAGCAGCAGCAGCAGCACCCAAGCCAAGCATCTAGCTGGTCTCCAGTGGGGCCTCCATCTAGTCCTTATGGAGGACCTTTCAGTACAGATAAACCAAATAGCCCAATGATGTACCCCCAAGCCTTTAACAACCAAAATCCTGCAGTGCCTCCCACGGCAAGCAACCCACAAAAAGCTACAATGAATAACTACCTCCCTCAAAACCATATCAATATGATTAGTCAGCAGCCAAATAATCTGGGTACAAACTCTTTGAGCAAACAAACCAATATGCTTTCTTATGGCAACACTAAACCTCTGTCTCATTTCAATGCTGACTTGAGTCAAAGAATGACTCCTCCAATGTCCAATTCCAACAAGAGTCCCATGATGCCATATATGCAGCAACAGCAGCAGCTTCCCCAACAGCCACAAATTCAGGCTCAAATGACGCATTTGAGTGAGGAGCAGAAGCGCATGCTGATTTTGAAGCAGAAAGGAATGATGAATCAGCCAGTAGCTTATGGAACACTTCCATCTCTTGGTCAGGTAAGTGTGGACAGAGAATGTTATCTGTGAATGGCTCATGTGAATTACAGAAACTAGTGCACTGCTGTGTACAGCCTTCTCTTTGTATTTGCCCCACCTTTTTTAAAAGGAGCATTTGTTTCTGGGTACATATAATTTTCTAGTAGCTTCAAACTCAGTTTTCTTCTGAGTTAGTCTTATTTGTATCAGTACATAGCGAATCTATAGTGGCAATAGTTTTGAATGCTCATCTCCAGATGTCTAGTTCATCCTCAAAAATTACCAAGATTTCTTATACAGTTTGACTGGGGCACATTGTGAACTACCATATAAAATTAATATGAGGTTAAATTTATATAATAAATGAAATAGCTACCTAATTCATGATAAAGAATTAGCTATGAGGCTAATGTATTATATGCATATATGAACTTCAGTTTTTGCAGACCGATGCAAATGATGGCCACAAATTATTTTGCCATAATAACAGTACAAGAAAATTTGATGCAGTGTACTCTGTTTTGATAATGTGTATTCTGATATGATATTTGCTGTGTTTATTGTTCAGAATATATAGCTTTTATCATTTGGGAAAACCATATATTGCCAGTGCCTTACTGATTGTGAGATCTCTGGGCTTGAACAGACTTCTACCAAGTAACTCCAGGTCATCCAGAAGATCTTTAATTAAGAGAGAGATAGAGAGGGAGAAGTGGATTGGGGTTGATCTGTGTTTTTTTTAAAATAATAATAATAATAATTATTATTATTATTATTACATTAAAATGGTTAACAACAGCAACTATGAGATTATTGTGCAATTTTGCTATAGAATATAGCAAATTGTGCATTGAAATATGGTGGCATAAATGTATTTGATATGATTTTTAGGCTGTTTTTTATACAAGACTCTGACTTGCTCAGTTTGATTCTGGCATCTTTAAAAGTACTTTGAAAGTAGGTACTTTAAAAACACTTTAGATATTCAGTCCAATCCAATGGAATAAAACTCTGGTTTTTCAAGTAGGAGCTGATATGGCTAGAATTCAGAAAGTGAAATTGTCTGTAATGATTGGCCTTCCAATTGATCAGTTCATATATGGAAATGAGGTGTGTTTGACTTTGTTACTTATCTTTTGAGAGAAATATGCAATCTTAAGTTACTTAAGACATGCCACAAGTTTTAGTACAAAGAGCTTTTACTAAACCAATTAATGTCCAGAGCAACAAGTTCTCTTGAGCAAGTTAGTATTTTGTATCACATAACTACTATCTATGCAATTGTGGCAATAGTGTTTATTCTTTGCAAGCAAATGGAAACTCTTGTCATTTGAACAGAACCATTCTTTTTTCATAAGTTCAGAAGATAAAAAACATGTGGTTTAGTTTATAGAAGACATGTGGAGCTACCAGAACAGGAACTAACTCCATATTATTTTTCAGTTTCATTGTAATTTAATAGGTTCAATCCAGCCTTCTGCAACCTGGTACTCTCCAGATCCTAGCTGTGAATTTATGGAGCAATTGTCCCAGTTTTCTGGATGGCACTAGATTGTTGTAGTCCACCTCATCAGAGATCACTGTTACAAAGAATAATAGTATTTGCTTATTTGTATAAGAGTTCAGTACATGAAATACTTATTTAAATGTGGACTGAAATAATGTGGTGATCTCATTATCCAGATTTTTCTTTTTATTATATCAAAAAAGGGTAAGCTTTATGTCCCTGATTTAACATACCTGATCCCTTCTTCCTGAGTTTAACAATGCTCTCTGTTCATGTAGAGTGAATGCACTATAAAGCAGCATAGCTATCTCCTGTTTTAGTCTCCTGCTAATTCTCCAACAGTTATTTTCTCCCACTCATCTTCCAAACCAGCCTTCTCCAACCTTTTGCCTTTCAGATTTATTGGGACTTTATTGCTGTTAGAATTCACAGCAAGTATAGTACTATCAGGGCACCATTGCAAACCTTGTCATCTTCTTTCCTAACATACTTGAAGAACAGGAAACTCAGAAACATTGTTGTTGACAGTCTCATTCCAGTTACCATTCTACAGCCAACAATAGACCATACCATACAAAAGCTTTCCCTTTGCACTGTCAAGTGTTGTTTGTGTGTATGCATATATGTGTAAATACCACCACCCCATGGTATCAGGATGCAAATAATTGGTCCCAGTTTCAGAAAAAATGCCATACCTGTACCTAATAAAACCCTGTATTTCTTTTAGTTAACCTTCAAATGACCTAAGCAGGAATAGAAATCTAATCTTTCTACTGTATATAGAAAGATCTTTACAGTCCCAGTAGGCCAATTTAGAGGCATAGAGATTTAAAAAAAAAATGACTTAGGTGGGAAAGGTAAAACAGTAGCCTTCCATCTGGAATGTATTTCCCCTTCTTTCTCTTGCTGCTTTCCTGAAAAATGTTTGTTGATTGACCTCCCGAGCAGTCAGGAATAATTGTTCTTCACAATGATGGGAAAAGATCTTCTGATAACATAAAATCACAGATTCTGCCCTCCCGCTTCTGGCTTTTTCCCTGCCTCAGGAAATAAAGGGAATCAAGGATGGCCAGAGTTTCTTTCTTTGGTTTTATTTTCTATCCCTCTCTCTCTCCCTCTCTCTCTCTCTCTCGATGATGATAAAGGATGGGCTTCTTTTGGAATTGTTTCTGACATAGGACAATATCATTGCATGCTTAGTATCTTTATTAGGTGTTTTTTGTTCCTCTTTAATCTGTGTTCCCATAATACATTTTTTTTCTGGAGATGTTTAAGGGCTGCCAGATGAAAGGTTATCCCAATAGAAAAACCTGCCTGAAACAGTTGCTTTGTAGGTGAGCAGCAACTACACTTCCAGAGTTTCCTTTTATTGAGTCTACTGATCAAGGATTCTGGGGGATTCTGAGTTCCAACATAAATGAATACTACTGGGTTGGGGGAAGCTGCAGTAAAATCAATGTATTAGAGTCTTAGCACTACCCCAATATAGCTTCAATAGTGTGAGAGTTGTGCAGGTGTATTGGAGGAAGGACAAGGAACCTTATTTGTGGAGGAAGGTCGCTATATGTACAGTACTTCATGTGTCAGTTTGTATCTGTTCCCATAAATAAGGCTCTGTTGATTCTGTAGCATTCCACATGGCACTCTGAGAAAAATATTTCACCATCCATAAAAGGAAAGTGTGAAAGTCCACACACAACATGATTATTCTTAAGTTTATATTTCTGCTTCTGATTTTTTCTTTATAAGGCTAAAATGTGAGTATGAAAAGACAGCAGCAGAAAGAATCCTGTATGGATTTGTTTGAAGGGACAAAGTCATGAGATTCTGGAAAAAATATCAGTACAGAGAGAACAAAATAAACGAACAGTTTCTGTATGTAGAAATAAACAAGGGAAATTCTGAAGATGGGTTAGGAACTCTTGTATAAGACTATTAATAGATATTCAGGGCTTCCATACAAAATTGTATAAACAGCTTTCCCTGTTTATTTCTAATCTAACTGTTGCAATGTGGCACTTGAATCTCTTTGTAAGTATGTTGGCTACATGAACATCCTGCAGAGAGATTAGTAGCACATAACCTTCATGTTATATGCCAGGGTGCAGTTGATGCTCCAGTTTGTTTTCCAGCTTCATGTTTGATGAGCTTCCTTAATTATACTAAAAAAAGAAAGGTGTGTGTGGCTGGAGAGAAATCCATATAGCTCAACATGAATAGGAGTAATTAGACAACTGGCAGAGTGTTAAATTGGTGGTCTAGGGAGAAAAACTAGCAAATCTGCAGAATTCCTCCATGCCCAATAATCAGTGGAATTTGTATAATCTCCTACTGAATACAATTTCTCTGGAGTGTGGTGGTCATGACTCATTTCTTAGCTTAAACGGCTAAAGTAAGTACTCTTCGCTTTGCCAAATATCTGCTACCAATTCTGTAAGAAATATAACCCATATAATGCATACTCTGATGCTTTGAGGGTTACTCCCAGTTCTATTCTAATGATATCTAGACAAATCTCATAGCTGTATTTTTTTTTCAGAATAAATACTGGGAAGCAAGGAATCAAGTTCCTTACAATTGCTTAACCAATGCTTTGAAAGCAAGCACACTCAAAAATGCTGCTTGGTGTACAGAATATCTTCAGCACTCTAAAGACCTAAATATATTGACCCATGAATGTCCAAATAATGGTGCTGCTATTGAATATTCTTTGAGTTATGTACTGTCCATTACTATTGTGTCTTGCCAGAGCAAAGTGTGGGTGGTAGGTCTGTGGATTTGAAGGTGATGAACACACAAATGAAGCAGAAGCTTAAAGGATTTATTGCAAAGCAAAAGAATAACAACTTTATAATGAAGTATAATACAGACAGGAAATATCCACAGACCAGGCAACAGCAACAACAAAATTGCAGCATTCAATAGAAAAATGTAAATGTTAAATAGACAATCACATTCTTCCAGCTGTTGGGAACCCTGCCTCATAAGAGGCAACAGCAATTCAGTGTTTCTCAACCTCAGCAACTTTAAGATGTGTAGACTTCAATTCCCAGAATTCCTGAGCCAGCATGTGGGAGTTGAAGTCCACACATCTTAAAATTACTGAGGCTGAGAAACACTGCTTTAGATTATACAGATGAGGGTTTGGCACATTTCTCAGGCACCAGGGAACTACACTGAAGTTCATCCCTAGGAGGGGTTTCAAAATGTTTATAGCATTCTGTTGCAATACTTCTAATTAAGCATGCTTATTATCATTCTTGCTTATCATCCAGCAACAGTTTATATAAGATGGTAGCAGCAGTATCCTCCCTGCCACAGGTGGCTGTCCTTGGAATTAGCAAAGTACTTCTACAAGAAAGATATAACACCCTTGAGCTAGGCTGCATCTGAAGAAAACAAGTAACTGAGAAAGAGCGGGACGGGGGGAGGGAGGAGGAGAGGAAGTTCAGAGGCTTGATTTAGAAATCTAAGTCTCTACCAAGCTATGCTTTGTACAAAAATACAGAAGAGA